AGGCGAGAGGTCATGGCCTTCTCTCTTTCTTCCTTAGCACGGCACCGTCCTGACTGTGCCCTTGGTCTTCTAGATTCTCAGAGCTCTGCCAGAGGTTTTCTAAACCCCTATGAATATCTCATTACTCAGCTTATTTTTAAAAAATATAATTTATATTTCTTTTTTACATTTTATTAAGTTTATTGAGGTAACCTTGGTTAATAAAATTACATAGGCTTCAGGTGTACAATTCTATAACACATCATCTGCATATTGCATTGTGTGTTCACCACCCAAAGTCAGGTAAGCTTATGTTTATTTTTTTAAATATATTTTCACTAGAGGCACGGTGCATGAAATTCGTGCATGGGTGGGGGGGGGGCGGGCCTCTCAGCTCGGCCTGCACTCTCTCACAATCTGGGACATCCCTCTCACAATTAGGGACCCCTCGCTCCTAAACGCCCACCTGCTAGCTCCTAACTGCCCGCCTGCTCACTCCTTACTGCCTGGCTCACAGCTCCTTAGCCCTGCCACAGAGGCAGGAGAGGCTCCCGCCACCGCCGCTGCGCTTGCCAGCCGTGAGCCTGGCTTCTGACTGAGCAGCACTCCCACTGCTGGGAGTGCACTGACCACCAGGGGGCAGCTCCTGTGTTGAGTGTCTGCCCCCTGGTGGTCAGTGAGCATCATAGTGACCAGTCGTTCTGGCCATTCCGCTGTGAGGGTCACTGGGGTTTTATTATATAGGATACTACTAGAAGGAATATTATTGACATGAATAACTCAGGGTCAAAAGGACATTTTTCAGTTAGCGATTAGAAAAGACATAGGTTACCATGTATTTGAAAAATGTGAAGGAAGGAGTGGCAGCAAGCCTCCAAGGTATCCCCAATGATCCTTGCCTCCTGGTTGGCTCCTTTGTGGGTCTTTTATTTCCATTCTGAATCAGGGCTGACCGTGTGACCCATGGAATAATGTGGAGGTGATGATGTATAATTTCTGAGACGAGTTCATAAAACATGTGCCTCTACCAGGCTCCCTTGGGTAGCTGATTCTCAGGAAAGCTGGCTTCTAGATTGTGAGGCCACTAAGGAATATTTGTGGAGAGGACCTGAATCTTCTGTCAAAAGCTAGCACCAACTTGCCAGCCACGTGAGTGAGCCACCTTGAAAGTTAACTGTGTAGTACAGATCAGACCTCCCAATGATGGCAGTCCTGGGCAAGAGCTGATGGAGCTCTGTGATAAGCCTTTAGCTGGATCTGCCAGGCCAAGCTATTCCCGAATTCTCCACTAATGGAAACTGTGAGATATTAAATGTTTGTTGTTTTAGGCCACTAAGTATTGATGTGGTTTGTTTCTCAGTAATTGATAGAGTAAGCAGTTGAAAATATTTATCGGCTTACTCTATCAATCCTCAAGAAGAAATATGGAAGCAAAAATCCTTAAGAAGAACTATGTTTTAAATATTTCCCCTGAGAAAATACCAGCCTCAGAGAGTAATAGGGGCTCTTTCACATCTAAACTCTCAAGGTTAGGCGCAGAACACAAAAGGAGATTTTTAATTGTAATGAATTTCTTTTTTCTGAAGATGGAATAATTCCATTACCAAGATCTGAAAATGATAGAACAACTGAAAATCATAATCTCACTTATGAATATAGATGCAAAGATTCTTAAAAAAAACTGTCATACTAACAAATGGAATCTAACAGGATTAACATTTCCCAGAAATGTCTTATACCTCTGTAAAGCTACAATAATTTAGACCTGAAGTACTGGCAACAAAAATAAAATACATTAATGGGAAATCATTTTAAGACCTCAGGAATAGAACACATCAATTCTAATTCCAGTTATAAAATTCTTTCCATACTAAGTTCAATTGCGTTTATTGCTATGTCTCGATCTATGTTACATACATGGATGATGTATTAATAATTAAATATATATGGTACATAGGTAATATTTCACACCCAATATATATATTTTTACAATTATATTTTATATTGAAGCATATTTGACAGGCAAAGTGTAAATGTCTTTATCTAAAAATAGATACTAGCAATAACTGAGAAAATAAGTATGCTGGTTATAAAAAGAATTTAAAAAAGGATAATAAGCAATTTAGAGAAGAAATTCAAATGCCAATAGATATTGTAAAAGGTTGAATTTGGGTAGTAATACAAGAAATACAAGTTAAAACAACTGAAGAGAATACCTATTTTCTAACAAACTGCCAACATTTTTCAAAAACAACAGTAGCCAGTGTTGGGTTAGTTTGAGGAGAAAAAAGCAAAAAGAAATCGAAAAAATTTCTTGAGATTATTTAACTAGTGCTATGTATAGTCTGAATGTTTGCATCTTCCCCAAATTCACAAGTTGGAATCCTAAAGCCCAACTTGATGGTATTAGTAGGTGGGGCTTTTGAGATGTGATTAGGTTATGAGGGTGGAGCCCTTATGAATGGGATTAGTGCCCTTATAAAACAGACCTTAGAACTCCCTCCCCTGCCCTTTCCACCACATGAAGACATAATGAGAGGTCTGCAGCCTGAAAGAGAGAACTCACTGGGCCATGCTGGCACACTGACCTCAGACTTCTAGTCTCCAGAACTGTGAGAAATAAATGTTTGTTGTTTGTCCAGGCAGGTGTGGCTCAGTTAGCTGAGCTTCATCCTGTGCACCCAAAAGTCATTGGTTTAATTCCAGCCAGGGCTCATACTCAGGTTGTGGGTTCCATCCCCAGACGGGGTACATATGAGAGGCAACTGATTGATATTTCCCTCTCATCGGTGTTTCTCTCTCTCTCTCTCCGTCTCTTTCTAAAATCAATAATAACATATTAAATTTTTAAAAATGTTTGTTTATAAGTCACCTGCTCTGTAATATTTTTGTTACAACACCCTGGATGGATGGAGACAGCCAGACTATGTCAAAAGCTTTACCATTGACCTGGAAATTTTATTTAATGCTTTAAATATGAATGTTGATAGTTTTATTATTGCTTATTTGGGTTTTATTTCGTTAGCATAATGCTCTCCATGTCCATCTATGCTGTTGCGAATAGTAAGAGTTCTTACTTTTTTACAGCAGCATAATATTCCATTGTGTAGATGTACCACAGTTTTTTAATCCACTCCTCTGCTGATGGGCACTTAGGCTGTTTCCAAATCTTAGCTATTGTAAATTGTGCTGCTATGAACATAGGGGT